GTTGGTTGAGTTTGAGTTCAGTATCAGAGAATTACATTTACAATTCAATATCATAAAGGAGAACAATATTTTCACACTGTGTAAGAGTGTGCTGATTGGTTGGCAAGTGTATTCTGGTTAGTAGAGTTGTCGCTATGGAGACTGCATCATTGTCCTGATGAGCTTCAACAAAGTGTCTGTTTTCAGTAAATACTCAAATATGAAACTTGCTGACCAAAATGAGTATCTGAGGCAAATAACAGAAAAACATTGAAAGAGAACTGAGCTATATTCATCAGGTAGAGAGGAATTGAAGGATATGATGAAAGGATGAGATGGAGAGGAGTGATACAAGAATCCTGCAGTGCACTACCTTTGGCCTGTTGGGCTGATTGGCCTATTAATTTGTTATTTTGATGGATGTCTTTGTAGATTTGGTTTCCTTATGCGTATTTTTTTACATCTTTCATGTTCACTTTATTTCTCAACTTCGTTTAATTTGTTCTTGGTATGTGACCATCACAGACAAAGATTTATTACCATTCCCCAATTACCCTGGAGGCGGTGATGTTAAAGTGTGGAACTGTTACAGATGTAGGTACACCCACAATGCTGTGAAGAAGGCTGCTCCAGGATTTTGACCCAGTGACAAAGAAGGAACAATGATATATTTCCAAGTTTGGAGAGTATGTGGCTTTGAGGAAAGTTCAGAGGCGAATTCCCATGCATCTACTGTACTTGTCCTTCTAGATTTCATTCGAGTTCGGTATCAGATCATTAAATCTACAATTAAGTGTCATGAACACTCCACGACTGGACCTGAAATGATATGGGAATAGACAGGGAGACAATAAAAGATATGGAACTCACCTCTTAAAGGAGACCATTTGGTCCATCATGTCTACACCAGCTCCCCAAATGACCATTATGACTTACAGCCATTTTCCAGCCTTTTCCCCATAACCTTGCATGTTATTTCTATTTTTATAATCATTCCACTTAGTCAAAGGGTCAAGAATAAGGGTCACACTTTTAAAGTGAAAGGCAGGAGGTTTAGGTGTTGGTGGGAGACTGGAATGCACAGTCTGGGGAAGATGGTAGAGATGTGTATCTTCACAATCTTTATAAAGTACTGGGATGAACACATGAGGTATCATAACACTCACATGTGGAAAAGGAAGACGAGTGTAGGTAGTAACATATTTTTGATGGTACGGACTTAATAGGCTGAAGGGCCTCTTATGTACTGTATGATTCTATGATGTCATGTACTCTTCAATGTCTCAATTGAACTTGCCTTCAGTACAGTTCCAGGCAGCACAATCCAGACCCTAACTATTCACTGTATGCAAAAGTTTGTCTCTGGTGTTGCATTTGCTTCTTTACAAACTAATTTAAGTCTATACCCTCTGGTTCTGAACGTCTTTTACATGTGGGAACAGTTTCTCCTTTCTACTCTGTCGAGTCTCGCCATGATTTTGAAAACTTCTTTTAAATCTTCTCTTCCCCTTTTCCTGTCCAAGGTGAACAGTCCCGATCTTTCCTCATAACTGAATTGTCTCATGTCTGGAACCATTTTAATGAACCTCTTCAGCACTCTTTCCAGTTCCTTCACAGTCTTCCAAGAGTGTAGCACCCAGAACTATACACAGTATTCCAGCTGAGATCAGCCAGTATGTTGTTCTTCACAACCTGTCTGCTCTTATACAGTACACCCCTGTTAAAACAGGCTAGGAACATTTGTATAAAAAGCTGAGAGAACTGTGGATGCTGGAAATCAGAAACAAAAACACAAATTGTTAGAAAAACTCAGCAGGTCTGGCAGCATCTGTGGAGAGAGAAAGCAGAGTTAACATTTTGGGTTCAGTTCTGTAGAAGGTTCACAGGACCTCAAACATTAACTCTGCTTTCTCTCTCCAGATGCTGCCAGACCTGCTGAGTTTTTCTAGCAATTTCAGCTTTTATTGCTAGGAAAATTTGTGCCTTATTTATTGCCCATGCGCCTAGTTACCCTTCAGTATAACTGAGTATCTCGCAGGGCCGTTTCAGAGGGCACTTAAGAGTCAACCATGTTGTTGTCTTGTCTAAGGTGATGCATAGGCCAGACCAGAATGTTAATGTATGAGAAAATTGTCACCATTAGACTTTTAATTCCAGACATTTTATTGAATTTGCTATAATGGGATTTGAACCCAGGCCCCTAGAATATTACCTGGGTTTTAGAATTATGGCTGACATTGCCACTATGCTGCCATCACCTCCCTGACTTACCCACATAGATACATCCAAGTCTGTCTGCTCCTACACATCCTTCAGAATGGCACCTTGTAATGTACGCCGACTCTCCATGATCCTTCGATCAAAATGTGTCATCTCTTCATTGAACATCATCTGCCACCTATCCGGCCACATCACCAACTTGGTCCCTTTGAAGGACTACACTATCCCCCTCACAGTTTACAGTGCTTCCCCCAAGTTTTGTTGAATTGGCAAACATTAAAATGATGCTCCAACATCTAGATCATTAATATATTTTGTGACAAGCAAGTGTCTCAATACTGATTCAACACTGATGCTGGATGGCATGGTGGCTCAGTGGGTAGCACCGCTGCTCATAGTGCCAGGGACCTGGGTTTGATTCTGTGGGTGACAGTTGGTGTGGAGTTTGCACATTCTCCCCATGTCTGTGCGGGTTTCCTCTGGGAGCTCTGGTTCTGCATCCACCACCTCCCCACCCCCACCCCCCCACCCCCCTGACCTCCACAGCCCAAAGATGTGCAGGTTAGTTGGCTTGTCCATGCTAAATTGTCCATAATGTCCAGGTTAAGTGGGTTAGCCATGGGGAATGCAGGGATAGGGTAGGGGGTGGATCTGGGTAGGGTGCTCTTTGCAGAATTGGCAAGGCTGAATGGCCTGCTTCCATGCTGTAGGGATCCTATGGTTCCTGAGAAACCCCACTACAAACTCTCCATCCAGCTTGCAAGCTATGCATAGGCCTCTACTCTCACTCAACTGATTTTGTACACAGGTAGTAAGTATTCTTTGTCTTCCATGATCTCTAATGTGGTATTGCATCTACGTGTTTTGTGTTGTTGACCGGTTTCCCTTTTCTGTTTCTATTTACAGGAGACTGAGAGCTGAAGAACAAAGCTATGTCAAATGATGAACTCCGATTGCACTTTGGAGAGATCTATAACAGTTTTTGTAAAACTCCCGCCTTTGGATGATATTTGATGCCAGATATAATGTTTGGCGCAACAATAGACCATGTAAATTATCAATGCTTGCATCGTACTGATTGATCACGTCCTTTTTTTTTAACTGTATCAATTTTGACTTTTCGTTTCTTTTTGAGTGGGGTGGGGAGGGACAATTTTGGCTTTTAATTATAATTTATGTCTTGATTTGACTGTCACTCAATTTGAAAACTTTTTTTTTGATTGAGATAGAGTTCCTACAACATGGAAAATTGAAATGGGGTGATTCATATTGTAAATATGTACTGGATTTTTTTGTCACACCTCATTAAACCTCCAAGTTCCTATTCAGCCCTGTTGTAAATAAGCCGTGTGTTAAACACCATCCTCCAAAGAATGGCCATTTTGGCGAAAAGCTGAATTTTTTTTAATAATATATGTAATTTTTTGTCGTTGTAATGCACTGTTTTAATTTTTTTTGGTTTATTTCTTGGTTTCAAAAGCACAATCACTAAACTTAATTTTGAAAGGAAAACCATTCTTTATGAATCTCCGACACCAATGCGGAGAATTGCGTGTGACGAGAGAAGGTGGGGGGAGGTGAGGAGGAGATAGGAGAGGTGTTCAATTTTCCAGCTGTCGGGAGTTAGCAGCTGTTTTGGGGAAGGGGTAAGTGAGGGAGCAAATGGAAACATGAGGTTCAATTCAGGAGGAGTTAGGAAGTCCCAATTGCACAGAGCCTAGTGAAAGAAGCAAAGATTCCATTTGGTCTTTTGTAAGAGAAGGTTCTTTTCAAGAGGAGGACTTGAGACAAAAATTGTGGCTGTTTACAGTCAAGCAGACCAGTCTGCATAAACGTCAATGAGGACTTTTGCCAATGTAAAATCTCTTTAATTATCTTTGCTGATCTCTAAGCTGATTCTGTTCAGTGTGGTGTGGGACAAGAGCAGGAGGTAGAGAGATGCAGCAACAGATACTGCTTGGAAACAGCTATATAATTAACAGGGTACACTGTTTTACATTCGAGGGAAGGTACAGGTTTATACCTGATTGGCCCCTAAAAAACTGAAGAGAGATCACTTTTCAATCTCATGTGACAGGTGGTGTCATTGGATCAAGGTTTAACTTTGGGACTTCTGTTTTGTGGTACTAAAGGCAATGGTGTATCCTGTGAAGGGAATCGGCAAACCTGTCTACGATGTTTGGTACTTTTTATGTAAGAGTTCTTTTCCGTAGTCATAAATTTACGTATTCAGGATCAAATAATCCTTAAAAGTGTAATTTCCTTGCCACATTATTTATTAAAAATTGTCCTCAAAATCACAAAAATGCTTTGTGTTGCAGTACCTGTATTTATTCCCACAGGGAGAGCTATTTCTCAAAACTGCTGATATATCACAAAAGAAATGGTAGTCCACAGGCTGTTATTCACTTGTGGGATGTGGGTGTCACAGGCTGGGCCAGCATTTATTGACCATCTGTAGTTGCCTTTGAGAAGATGGCTTCTTGAACCACTGCAGTCCTTGTGCTGTGGGTTGACCCACAATGCCCTTAGGGAGGGAATTCCAGGATTTTGACCCAGCGACAGTGAAGGAACAGCGATATATTTCCAAGTCAGGATGGTGAGTGGCTTGGAGGGAAACTTGCGGGTGGTGGTATTCCCATGTATCTGCTCCCTTGTCCTTTTAAATCGTAATAGTCACAAGTTTGCAAGGGGGCAGCACGGTGGCTCAGTGGTTAGCACTGCTGCCTCACAGTGCTAGAGACCTGGGTTCAATCCCACCCTTGGGCAACTGTCTGTGTGGAGTTTGCACATTCTCCCTGTGTATGCATGGGTTTCCTCTGGGTGCTCTGGTTTCCTCCCTCAGTCCAAAGATGTGTAGGCTAGGTAGATTGGCCATGCAAATTTGCCCATAGTGTTCAGGGATATGTAGATTAGGGGGATGGGTCTGGGTGGGATGTTCTGAGGGTTGGTGTGGACTAGTGGGCCAAAGGTCCTGTTTCCATGCTATGGGGATTCTATAATAAGAACAAAATAATAAAAGAGCCTTGGTGAATTTCTTTCTCAGGCAACTGAAGAACACTCCATCACTTTTTGCAAAAGCTCTTTCTACTTCTGTGCAGGAAATATAAGAAGATATCAATCATCCCCTCAATTCCGTCCAGCCATTGGCTGATATATATTTTATCTCCACCCAAAGACTACTGCTTTGGTTCTATAACCCTTATAAGCCTTACCTCACAAAGACCTGACAATACACAAAAAAAGACTGCAGAATATGGAAATATGGAAATCTCAACCAAAACCAGAAGCTGCTGGAGTATGAACAGAAAGTGCTTGGAAACTTCAGCAGGTTTGGCAGTGTTTATGGAACGAGAAACAGAGTTAACATTTCAGATCCATAATGCCACTTCTTCAGAACAGAAGAGAGCTGGAAAATGGTGGATTTTTTTGTGTTGTTGACAGAGAGTGAAACAGATGGTGAGGGTGTACAGAGGGAGTGTTAATGGGTGGTCAAGGAGGGATAGAGATGTAAAATAAGTGTTAATGATAAGAATGAAATGGGTCCACTCTGCTGAGAGCAAAGCCAATGTCACACAAATATGACATAATCTGGGGAAAGGTTGGGGGTCAAATCTTTAAATAAGGAGACCAAAACTGGACACAGTACTCCAGATATGATCCTACCAAGCTGCTATGCAACTGAAGCAAATTTTCACTACTCCTGTGCTGAAACCCTCTTCCAATAAAGGCTAACATAGCACTGGCCTCCCTAATGAGGAGATAAGAACTCAGAGGAGTAGGCAATTCAACCTCTTGAGCCCGCTACACCATTTAGTACAATCATGGCTCACCCCCAACTGCACTTCCCTACCCACTCTCTGTAATCCTTAAACGCATTACTAATTAAAAATCTGTCTGTCTCCTCCTTTTCCAATGTCCTCAAGCACCACTGTATTCTTGGGCAATGACTTCATGACCCTTTGGGAGAAGTGATTGTCCCTCATCACGGTTTTAAATCTACTACCTGTTACCATATAACCATGACTTTTCATTCTAAATGCCCCATGTGAGGAAACATCCTCTCTATGTTTACTTTGTCAATCCCCTTTAGAATCTTATCTACCTCAATTAGATCCCCTCTCAATCTTCTAAACTCCAGTGAGTATTGGCCTAAACAGCTCAAACTCTCTTCATAAGACAAACCCCTCACCTCTGGAATCAATCTAGTTAACTTCCTGTGTACTGTCTCCAATGCAACTACATACCTCGTCAAGTAAAGGGACTAAAACTGTACATAATGCAGTCACGCTAATGCCATGTACAGTTACAGCAACATTTCTCTACTTTTATACCCTATTCCTTAAGCAATAAATGCCAAGATTTCCATTTGCCTTCATTATTGCCTGTTGTACCTGCATATTAGTTTCTGTGATTCATGCACAAGAACACCCAGATCCCGCTGCACCAAAACATTCTGAAGTGTCTATTTAGATAATAAGTTGTCTTTCTATACTTCCAACCAAAATGGATAACCCCACATTTATCAACATTAAATTTTATCTGACAAGTTTTTACTCATTCACCTAACCTATCTATCCATTTGGAAATTTCTTATTTCTTCATTGAAACTTACTTTCCCACCGATATTAGTACTATCAGCAAATTCGGCTGTAGTACTTTCCTTCCCTGCATCCTAGATATTAATATAGACTGTAAATAGTTGGAGCCCAAGGACTCTGTGGCACCCCACTACTTACTTTTTGCCAACCAGAATAGTACCTTTTATCCCAATTCTTTGCTTTCTCTTGGTTAGCCAAACCTTGATCCAAACTAACAAATTACTTCAAACCTCATGCAATCTTATCTTGTGTATTAATTGTATGTTGTGTCTGGAAGTCCAGATATACAACATCTATTATCCACATTGCTTGTGACATCTTTAAAAAAACTCTAGCTTGCTGCCTCTGGATATTAGCCTTCAGTGACTTACTGACAAGGGCACTGAGGTCCCTTTGTACATTTTCCAACCACTTACTAGTTCAAAAATGCCCATTCATCAAGCCTGTCCAAATCCTTCTGCAAACTTTTACATCTTCTTGAGGTTGTTGAGTTTGGTTGGCTCACTGAGCTGGTTTCTTGTTTCGCAAAAAGTTCGTTACCATGCTTGGTAACATCCTCAGTGCTGCACTGAGGATGCTACCAAGGATGGTAATGAAACATCTGCGAAACAAGAAACCAGCTCGGCGAGCCAACCAACCTCGACAACCTCAACACCTACAACCCAAGCTACAAATCTACTCCAAAACCTTTTACATCTTCTGCATGACATGTATACCTGCTTTGCTTGGTATTGTCTGCAAGTATGGAAACATGACATTTTTGCCCCCACATCCAAATCATTGATATATATTGTGAACAGCTGGAGCCCATGTATTGATCCTTGAGGTACCTCACTAATCACAGCCTATCAATGTACGAATGACTCATTCACTCACCAGCACTTCTTACTGCAATTGTACAAGATCTTGGTGAGACCACACCTGGAGTACTGCAAGCAGTTTTGGTCCCCTTATTTAAGGAAAGATATTATTTCATTGGAGGCAGTTCAGAGAAGTTCACTAGGATGATCCAGGTATGGAAGGATTGTCTTATGAGTAAAGGCTAAACAGGATGGGACTGTACTCTGTGAAGTTTAGAAGAATGAGAGGTGATTTCACTGAAGCACATACGATTCTGAAGGGGCTTGATAGAGTAAATAATAAGATGATGTTTCCTCTCATGGTCTAGGACTAGAGGACATAGTCTCTGAATAAAGGGGCATTAATTTAAGACTGAGATGAGGAAAAATTTCTTTTGTCAGAAGGTTATGAGTCTCTGGAACTCCTTCCCACAGAGAACTGTGGGGGCAGAGTCTTTGTGTTTCTTTAAGGCTGAGATAGATTCTTGATCATTTGGGGAAATCAAGGGTTACAGGGAAAGGGCAGGAAAGTGGACGTGGGGAATGTGGGATCAGCCATGATCCTATTGAATGGCAGATCAGGCTTGAGGGGCCAAATGGCCTACTCCTGTTCCTAATTCTTATGCTCCTATTCCTACTCTTTTTTCTGTCCATTAGTCAATCATTAGTCCATTCCAGTACATTACCTCCTATCCTGTGTGTTTTAACTTTGCTAATTAACTTCCTGTGGGAAATCTCATCAAAAGCCTCATGAAAATCTGAGTACACTATGTCCATTAACTCCCTATTAGCAGTTTTATTAATGACATCCTCAAAATCACCAACAAGTTTCTCAAACATGATTCCTCTACTCACAGATCCATGCTGACTGTGCCTAATCAGACCATTTTCATCTTACTTCCCATTCATCACTTTCTTTATGATCGATTCTATCATTTCCCTACTACTGATGTAAGGCTAATGTCTCTGTAGTTCCCTGTTTTCTCTCTAACTCCATCCTTAAACTGTGAGGTGACATTTGCTAGCTTCCAATCTGCAGGAATCATTCTAGAATTTATGGAATTTTGGAGGCTGGTTCCCAATGCATTGCTATCTCTATAGCTACCTATTTCAGCACTTTTTACGTGTGAATTGTCAGGTCCCAGTGAATTATCAACTTTCAGCCCAATTAATTTCTCCAGTACAGACTTCTTAATAATACTAATTTCTTTCAACTCCTAAAACACTCAGGTTTCCTCCATCTCCAATTTTATGCTTTCCTCAGTATAAACAGAAACAACGTAATTGTTTAGCTTCTCTGCAGTTTCTCTATTTCTGGTTGTAAATACCCCTGAGTCATTTTTAACGGATCCACATTCATCTTAGCCAAATATATCCTTTTTACATGCCTGAAGAAGCTTTTACAGTCTATTTTTATGTTTGTTTGCTTGCTTGCTTCGACCTATTCCTCCCTTTCCTTTCCCCTTTCATAATCTCCTTTGATATATTCTAAATTTACCCAATGCTCATATTTACTATAAATTTTGGCTACTTTATAAACTTTTTCATTTAAACTTATACAATCCTTAACTTCCTTTGTCACCCTGGTAGCTTGTTGTTTTCTGCATTTTTGCACTTAGACGCAATAAACAGTTACAGGAAGCTATATAGTAGTTCTTTAATAACTGCCCATTGTCTTTGTACAGTCATGTCTTTTCATGTATTTTCCCAATCCAGTGCAGTCAACGTGTGTCTCATGTTCCATCATTTCCCTTATTCAAATTTAAAATTCTTCCTTCAGATTGAACTACCTCATTCTCAAACATAATGTAAGGTTCTATCTTATTGTGGTCACTCATCTCTGAACGTTACTTTACAGCA